CTGGGTACTCCAGCTTCCCACAGACCAAAATCATGAATGTTCAGGTGATTAGTAACTCTGATCTGTCCCTAGGTGTGAGTGAGAGAGTGAAAGTTTGTCTCCATGTGTCCCTGCGACGGCCTTGCAATCTCTCCAGGGTGTACCCTGTCTTGCACAATGGCTGCTGGAGTTAAGGACCTAGCATTGTCACAAACATCCAGCATGATTTGCAATCGATCAGTTGATTCGCGGTCATCTAGTGGCAGTAGGTTCGTTTTCGCACACACCTTTCACAGCCCATGAGACACGGTCCAGAGCACAGGTTTCATCATCTCACTGGAGACTCCTTTTAATTCATTACTTTGACTGTAAATGTGTCATGGGTAAAGTGCCACACACAGATTCCTCCATGCTCAACATTGGTACTATCTCCATCGATTGACTATCTTTGTAAGTGTCTGCTTGCAGGTACAACAATTGGCTTCTGTAAGCGGAGTAGTAGTCTGCAGTTTTCAGTGTAAACAAACACACCCACAAATTTCTGACCAATCGTGCAATACTTTGTATGCTGAGGAGAAGCATGAGAGGACTGGTGTATGATGATAAATAATCTGAAAGGTGTGCATTATTCTTTTCATGTTATTCTGGTTGTGGAAAACGGACCTGACTGCGCGTGTGCATCTTATATCAACCTGATGTGTTTCTGCCTGGCTAGGAGCTAATATGTTGGTTAGTGATGCAACATTTCTATTAGAAACTTTGAAAGAGCTCAATATTATTGAACGCTTTGATGGTCTAAAGTGTGGGAACACAGAGTGCAGTAATGTCTACACCAATTTTAAACCTGGCAAATGTCCACTCTGGGCACACGTTTTGTATCTTCATTACGGAAGTAGAACTTCTGTGTTTTTTAGGGAACATTTGCAAATCTGCATGTCAATATTTCTATATTTTTTGCCTTCCCTGTGTTTCTTTATGCCATCAATCACTTGCCCTCAGTTAGCTGTCTGCTCATTATTTTTCCAGTCAGCATGCCACACCCATCTTCACCAGCTCCCAGCTCTCCTTTCACAGCTGTAGCCACTTGGCTTGTTAGTCCCAGCCTATTTTGTTCTTTTTGGATCTATTTTTACTTCAGTGGAGCATTGTTGGTTTTTATGATAGTCGGTGAGCTCCTCTGTGAATTCTCCTTCTTTTACCCTTCTGCCACAGTAGAGTGTTTTTTTTGTACAAAAATTTTAATTTATTCAATTAGTACATTTATTTTTGAGCTTTTTGTGTGGCTGGTGTGCCCCCCCCACCCCCGTGACAGTTTCACTAAGGGAGTCAACAGCCACAGATAATCAACTAGCATGAAGCTAATTACTACTAGCTAATCAATTAGCCCATAAAATGGCTGTAACTGTCTAATTTACAAATATTGTGGTAGTAGAGTCATTCACATCTTATAGTCTGAGCAGCATCATATTGTACACAATCTCACTATGTTGCATGAAATTGTGTATTATGTTATTTTTATATTTGACAAAAAAATACTCAGATTTTTTTAAACTCTGCCATTAAATGTGATAGGCGATAATCTTTCCTTCATGGAACTTGTGAATTTTGGTAATATCAAAGAAACAGACACATCAGTGCAACGTAATACCAAAAAAAAAAAAAAAAAAAAAAAAAAAAAACAATAATTTATTTTCTTTTCTTTAGCAAAGATCACCATTATCACACATTTCACCTTGCTACAAATGCATCACATATGCATTACTTAATATTCCACCATCAGACATTAACTCAAAATTTACAGAACTCAATTTAAATTTTCAATTTACAATGCTTCAGGTAAAAATGAGGCATTTTGAAAGAACACTGTACAAGATACTGAACTATAAAGACTTTAGAGAAAAGGCAAACTGTCATTTCATCAGTTCTAAAGTGTTCTGAGTCCTGCTCAGTGGCAATCATCCAAATACCAGTTTTTATGTGACTGCAAACATAGTTAAAAGCATTCATGAAAGTCCTTGAATGATGCCAAAGAAATACACAATTCATGAATAAGGCATAACAAAACCCTCTCAGTGGCATCTAGTTATACAGACGATTCATTTTGTGTGTGAAAACAGGTTGTTCCATCCATGCTTCATTCAGGTTTGGCTTTTAAGGCGATGATGAATCAAAGAGATTACCTCTGTAAAAAAATACCATCATGTAAAAGCTACAGGCAGATCAGTGTGTTCTTGTTGAAAAAGAAATCAAAATTACAAGATAACAAAACTGCATATTAAATACTGCAGGTTAATGTAGAGAGTTTTTCTTTTCATTACAAATAACAGAAAACGTTAACATTTTGATTAAAAAATGAATAAAAACATTGGATTTTGAATTTAACTTCATCTCACAAAAAGAGAAAAACAACTAAAAAAACTGAACAAAAAGATTTTTACAAATAAGCAATATTTTTTGCAACATGTTCACATGTAGACTTATGTGGATATTTTCCTAAACAAAAGCAGCTGATTATTTCTTTATGTGTTGCTGTTTGGTGACATGAGCACTGACAAGAAAGGAACACACAGACTTAACAATGTAGGTCAACATACAATAGGCATGATGATGTTTTGCCTTTTTTAAGTGTTTACAACTTGTAAAAAAATGTCTAAAGTAGTTTCCTGAGTTTTGTAAAGTGGCTGTCTGAGGAATCTGCACTCTGATTTAACGAACGCTTCAAACTTTGTCTTATTTAGTTCCTAATCAATAAAAAAGAAAGAATTGATTTATAAATCCTACTTATTCTTCTCATGAAATAATAAAATGTTCTCTTTCCCAAATATTCACTAATAACTTATTCAATCTGATAAACAGAAAACTAAGTAATATTGGCAAAGGGACACTAGGGACAGCAACATGGTTCCTGGTTCAGGTGTAAACCGAGGCTATTCTGTGTAAAATTTGCGTTTTCATTTTTTCATCACATAACTTGTGCTCTTAACAAGGAGTTCCCAATCCTGGTCCTTGAGGAACACTATCCTGCATATTGTAAACGTTTCCCTGCTTAAACTTTAACCTGTTTCTGAAGAATCTGAAGACCTGCTGAAGAGCAGGGAAACAACTAAAACGTTCAGGATAGTGTTCTTGAGGACCAAGATACACTAAACTTCAAAGCAAGTTTAACTTAGGCAGAGTTTATTTAAAGGTTCTGTCTCAACTGACCCAAACAATACGCTTTTTCACAAAACAGCTCCACAATATGGCATAATGTGGTTTGTCTTTGCTAAGCAGAGATGGAGACGTCCCGCGCAGATGTGAGGTTTCAGAAAAGAAGAGAGCATCGTGAACCCAAAAGTGGTGTGGAACAGAACCCAGAGCCCAGTGCATTGAATGAGTGTTGTTCTCACGTTGTTTTCAAAGCACTCAGTTTAGCGAATCTCTTTGTGCTTTGTGCTAACAATTTTCTTTAAATTAAATGCAAAGTTGGTGTGTGTCCCACTTAGTTGTTCACGTGTGGATCATTTCAGCTCTGTCACTACCTCACTTCGCAGCACAAAGGAGCATCGTCGGTGGGTTAGTTTGACTTCCCTCACTGTTTCAGTTCATGTAGAAGTCACATTGAGGCAGTCACAAAGCACCTGTGAGTCCTGGCTTGAGTTGTCTTGTCAAAGAGCTTAATGAGGATCTGTGCTCAGTGGTATAAAGCTGAATATCAACTCAGTAAGTACAGCAAGGATTTCTGACTGCACATTCATGTAAAACAGGCAGAGCTTTATAGAAAATTAAACAATCACAGCCATGAAGAAAACCTAAAAAAATAACAATGATGAAAACAAATTCATAAGCAGCCACATTAAGCACAAGCAGATCAAACAAAAAAGGTTATATATTTTTATTATTGTGCTTCTGGTGCTTCCTTTTATTGAGACATGAAAATTTGAACCTTTTTCTGTCTTTAATACTCTTGTTGCAGTTAAAACTTGTGATTTTAACGAGCCTTTCTCAAACATTTTACGAGCTCTCTGCAGAGTTGAACGTGAATGCACAGGCAGGCAGTTTGGTGAACATGAAGCACTTTACGCTCATATGCTCTCTAGACTGCAGGAAATCTTTTATTGGTTAAGTTGTTATGTTAAGTTTCTGACTTGAAACAATCCTTAAACTGATCATACTGTTTAAAACAACGTAATATTTCAATTCTGCCATGTTCTCTGTCATAAAAAACATTTCTCAAAATCATAACTGTTATAGAGAGAACAAAAACTCATAATGTACAAATGATTACATTTTTTGTTTTATAAGTGACATTAAGAAGCCGTTGTTTTAATGTGTGATATTTAATCTAGAACATAATCTCCTCTAGAGTTTTAGGGTTTTAGGAAAAGTTGCTGCAATAACAAACTAAAGTAAAACCTTTTCAGCTTTTTGTCATAAAAATCCTAAACTTGAAGCGACTTTGGTAAACCACTAATCCTGCTTTGGATTAAAGGCCTAAGGGAAGGTGAAGAGTTGAGGACCTGAATGCAGATAATTGTCCAGAGACATAAATGCATAAGTGAATTACTTTTTAATACTAAATCAAAAAAAAAAGGTGCTGCAAAAGCACACAAAAACAACAAAAACATAAACTAGTAAAATTCAGAAAAAGTTAGACAAAAGGCAAACCCCAAAGCAGGACTGAAACCAAGACAACACGAGGAAGTTATAACCTGAACATGGAAAACAGGCTACAAATACATGAGGAGGTGGCCAGATAGAAACAGGTGTGCTGATTAAAAATTAGTATCAGGTGAGGCAGACAAAAATCAGAACTCCAAAATAAAACAGGACATTAGCAACAACGAAACTGCAGTGACAAACAAACAAACAAACAATCAAACAAACAAACAAACAAACAAACAAAACAAAATGTAACCCTAAACCGATAAAACCAGGAACTGTGACACGTTGTAGGTTTTGTCCACCTGTTTAGGTTTTAAATTTCAGGCCAAAGATGCTAATTTGAGCATGTATGTCTGTTTTATATATATATATATATATATATATATATTTGCACTGCAATAAAATAACAACCTGTCCAGGGTGTAGCCAGACCCCTATAAATGGAAGTCTCTGATCTGGATCCAACAGGTTCACAATAAAAGAAAAGGGCAGAAAGAGTTTGTTTAGAAATGGATTATTGAAAGTTAAAAAATATATATTTCCCCAAACTGTTTATGGTTATGTTCACGCTGCAGCTCTTAATGCTCAATTTAGATTTTTTTGCTCAGATCTGATTTCATTGCGTAGTGACCTCCATCAGACTCCTGAGGCAACATGCATGCTTAAGAAAACAGCTTGACGTCACACGCATGCCGCTGTGTTTCAGGAAGTAAATATGGATGCTACACGTTAGCATGTGTGGATCAATTCTGAAATGTTTTGCAGTCAGATCCAGTTAAATATCTGAAATGCTTGTTTTGGTCCAATGTTTGTATTTGAACCACTTGATGACTCGGAGCATTGTAGTTTTGGAACGTGAAAAAAAAAGTAATGATGGTAGAAACATACTCAAGTAATGATTCCCATCACATTAGTATCGATATGGTCCAACAATAAATTTAGTATCATATATTGCTGTGGATTCTCAGTCATCCAGGACAAAGAAAATTTAATCAATTCGCTTAGCCCTACCTCACTGACATAAAAGTCAAACAAAGTGTGACACGACCGTTTAGACAGAAGTCACTTTAAAAAACACAGTATAAAGTACCTATATTATGTAAAACATAAGAAAAAAAATTGGGTTTAGTTTGAAAAAAAATCACATTCTGACTTTTGGTGTGTTTTGCAACTGCTCAATTATTCAGAAGTCATCACAGTAAGCAAACTCAGATGAAGATTTGGAAGTTTGTCCTTCATGAATTCTGATACCAGACAAGGGATTTGAACCAGGAACCTTCCAAACACAGGCTTGCCTTCTTTCATCTCTGTGCCACCACTCCCAGACATTCAGGCTGCCATAAAAAAATCTGACATGGGTTACGTATAATGAAAAAATAATAATTTGGGTGGATTTGCCTGCAAATTAAATTTTTTTTTGATCAAAAGCATTTGTCTAATATTTTGCAGAGTTCCCCTTCCTCTGCCTGCCTGTGATTCTTCTAACTGAAACAATATTGTGTTACTGCTTCAGAAAAATAATGCACCGTAAGGTTGCTTTAACAGATACATGTGGAACACATTTGTTGTATCCAGTAATAATATGATTAAGTTAAACTTGACTTGTTGAATATTGTTTCAGTTGCTTCACATGATCAAACAGGGATGTCAGGAATTTTAGTATTGTAAGCAGGTATAGAACATCTGTTAATTTAAAAAGTGAAATATCAACTTTAAATGCTAAAGAAAAAAAGGCAAAAAAGAAAGAGGAATTTCCTCTTCCTTCCCATCACTGATACAAAAATACACCAAAGGAACAAAAAAACTCAGTTTCTCATACATCTGGCTTGAATAATAGAGTTTCAACATAAATATGAAAATAGAATTGAAAAGATAAACATGTTTAAAGTGAAAACCTAAAATATAAAATCAAATAAGTGTTCATAGTTTCTTAGAAAAGATTTTATTTTCCAACGAGTGATATGAAAAACGAGTTTTGAAAAACATCCCAAAAATGTCATGATGCCACTGATAAAATTTACGTTAAAAAATTAGTTTCTTTTGTTTTGAGTTACAAAGTTTGAAAAGTATTCAAATTGTCCTCCTAAAAGTGCCACATTTAACGAGGCGAGTATATCATACCACATGGGATAGCTTGTGTGTCTGTTGTTTTATACAGTAGTGACTGAAAGGAAGGCATTGTGTGCCTTTGCTCCCTCTGGGGCTTTAGTACCATGAGTCATCAGCTCCTGAATTGTCATCCAGTTATCCAAGATCTTCTTATTGCGTTTCTTTAACATCTTCTTGTGGCTGAGCTCTATGATGCTGACTTCCTTGCGACCCTCGCTGCTGCTTTGAGGGTTCTCCTTCAAACTTTCCAGCCGACTGCGCTGCATGAACTCTCTCCTCCGCTTCTGTTCTTTTGCCCTGACCAGGTGCTGTTTCCTCTCCTCTTTACTCCAGTACCTTCCCATCTTCATTTCACTCATTGCGTCATCATCCGTGGTCATTCCCCCACTTCGCTCCTCTTTAATCTTTAAGGCTCGCTCCCTCAGGATCTTGTCTCGCACGGGCCTCTTGGTGATGTAGCGGGTGCCGTCGCTGCGGATCTTCACCTTCCACTCCATCTTTGGCTCGTTGATGGGTCTCTGAGGCTCTTTGCAGACGCTGAGCAGGCTGAGCTGGCTCTGAGCGTACTCCACAGCTGAGTGCTGCTGGATCAGCTGCATGTAGCTCTGATAGTGGCGGGCGTGAGCTGGGATGTTAGCCTGCCTCTGCTGGGAACTGTGGGAAGGGGAGAAGTAAGGAATGCGGGAAGTGCACTGGTTTAATTTGCCATTGCTTTCATTCTCAGCCTGAGGAGTTTGTTCTGTTTCGGAGGGATTGCTGTGGTCAGGGCTGCTGCCTTTTCCTGGGACTGGGGCACGGCAGGCTGGGATGGGGCTTGTGCTCAGAGAGTGACCGGCAGCAAGACTGCTGCAGAGGTTCCTCTGGTTGGTGAGACTCACCACTCTTTGGAGCGAGTGCTCTGGGGAGCGGTCCATTGCCAATGGGGTGCTCCGTGAACTCTCTGCAGTGTTGTAGGCACTGGAACTGTCCTTGTCAGATTTCTCCAGCCTCTCATTAATGTCTACCAGTTTACCTGTCATGGACTCCCCACGGTTGGGGCTTTGATTTTTGACAGAGGGAGCAGAGCGTCCAGTTAAAGGAGACTGCTGACCCTTCCGAAGCTTATGGGCTTGCATGATGTTCTGACACTCAAGCTCGATGCTGCGCAGCTCCTCGTTGAGCATCCGTAGTTCGTGTTGCACGTCACTCTGCTCCCCCATGTTACACTCGATGGTGCTGCGGCGACTGTAGAACAGGTCATACTCACCACTGTTACGGATCTGACACTTTAGCTCCAATAGCTGCTGGAAGCGATCTCCCTCTGTCTCATCATTGTCCTCGTCTGTTTTGTCTTCCAGCCGAGTGGTACTAGTGCTACAGTGTGTGTCCTGACTGTCTCTCAGGCACCGAGAAAGGCGTCTCTGGATTTGGGCCAAGACATTATGGTCTGAGCTTTCCATTCTGTCTTTTAGACTTCGCATACTGTCCTTATAGCAAGGAAGGGTTGAACAGGTGGGCCTGTCATCGTCTTCTCTCTGCAATTAATAAAATAAAATGAAAAAACTTTAATTTTGTCACTATGCTATGTTTTTTTCTACTCCACTGCATTTCCCTGAAAAAGGTACTGCTAAAACATAAATGGAATAATTTATATGTTTAACTGCAAAGAATATCAAAAATGCTTGTAGTGCTGTAGATTAAAACAAAATCAGACACAACTTCAAGCTAATGCGTCTGTAAATCACTGAAAAGTAGACATATATAGACAATATGTTGCATCAGTTCTTTCATCAACATACGTAAACTTTTAAAGACAGTGTATGTGATGGTATGCTGTCATGAACACATCATGATTAATCCCAGTCTTGAACAACATATAAACAAAATGGCATCATTTAGGATAATGTTTCTTTTTTTTTACTTTTTTCCAAAAGCTGTTTTTTTTACATATAAAATTCCATTCTGCATGTATTACAACAATAAGGCTCCTCACTAAAACAATCCAGAAGCTAAACTGAACTGTTGTAGTTGCTGCCATGTCAGCCTTTTTTTTGTAAATAAAATCTTATGTTTTCACTGTAGCTTCTTCTGTTCAATCTGCATTTTGGGTCTAATGCCTTAAAACCTGACATTAGGAGCTGAAAATTATTATTTTTTTAAATTCAGTTTAAATAGCTTGAAAACAAGACAAAATGGATGTATTCATTATGTAATGTATATGATTATTAGTAAAGTACATATAACTTTTTAATACAATTTGTATGTAAGCTTTACAGTGTACAATTCGATGTAGTTTGACATTTTTGGATATATTGTGCAATGATGTAATTAGAACTATATACTTTTTGTAAAAATCTTTAAAAATGAAGATATAGTTTTATCATGTATAAAATCTGCAGTAAGATAAATTAAATGTGTAATTGTCACATTAAAACATTGTTTAGAGAAACTCTTTCGTTGTTACTGGGTTGACTTCTTTCTACTTTCTGACGCCTTTGAAGTTTTATTTATAAGGATTTTTGTGGTATACGCAAATGACAGCAAAAGAGAATTTTAGATTATGATTTGTTACTAAAAGAGTTAAGTAATCCTCTGTCAGAAACTACAGAAAAAAAATCAGGTGTCTTCAGTACAGATCAGAACTTTTAGAACCTGCTGCTTCTCCTGCTCCTCTTGTAAGGCAGCTAACTCCATCTCCTCTCTCTGCTGCTCCTCCAGCATTTCCATCTTTAGCTGCTCCAGGAACTCACTATGCTCATCGTCTAGCCAGGCCTCCTCCAACTGGGAATACGAAAAAACAAACAAACAAAAACAAATAAATAAATAAATAAATAAACAAATAAATAAATAAATAAATGAAGAAGGGGGGGGGGTGTGCAGGAAAAACAAGGGAAATGTGTTTCTTTTCCCACAGCTTTGTGAAAAAACAATGACATTAAACAAATGTTTTCCCAAATGATTTCCTGATTCAGTTATTTGTCATTTCTAAATTAAGAATCAAGTGTTCAATAGACAACCCCATTTCTGTGAGACCAACAAAACTGTCAATCTTTAAATCAGACCAATCCAGTTTAACAGCTATAAAATCACCACTTTTGACCTTTTTTCATTCTCCCCATTCATCACTCTGCTTGATATTAACCAAATGGCATCCATACCTGATGACTTCACATTTATTACTAAAAGACCCATGTAATTACAAAGAGCCTGCTCCTGCTCCCTGCTCATCTGCACTGCGGCAGAGTCCTTCCACTTCCTCGTCACTGGCCTCAGGCTTGAACTCACTCCACATTAGCATGCCATTAGCTTTTATGGCTTACCATTGGAAGTCAATTACAGTGGTGCAAGATAAAAATAAAACATGATGAGGTGTTTCAGTGGTGGCTTCCACCAGGAGAGGTTGTGTACTCAGTGGGAGAGGAGTGGTCAGCCACACAAGCCTTCTGAAGGTCTTGGCAAAAAAACTGTTAATGCTAAACTTTTAAGAGCTAATTGTCATCTGCTGCTGAAGGGACGGTGATTATGTTTTTGCCCATGACTGCACATTTGTCAGCAACTTTTCTCAAACAACTGGACAGATTTTAGTCAAATGCAGAGAGTAATCACTGGATGTCTGTCTGGCTTTTGGAGTCAACTCGATTAAAGATGGCTGCAACGACTAACTGATCTTAGCCAACACAAAAAAGGCTGGAAAACTATTCCTATACGTATTTCATAACATAACACGATTCTGCAGTGCTTTAAAACTCATAAAAAGTGAATGGTGAAATGCATTCCTTCAAGCACTGCTAGTCCTTCAATGTAAATATAATATGTTGGACTTCTAGTCTGTTGTTTAAAGAGACAGTTTACCAGTTTGATGGATGAGCTTGGTGACTTTACTGTATTTCTAACCTGCATCTCGGGTCTTGCAACCAGTAGTATGATGTTCCTACAGTCATCACTGGACAGCACAGCCATTGCTTCTTCTCTGTCTTGGACATCTTGGCCATTAATCTGAAAAACAAAACAAAAACTACAATAAGACAACTTCACTACACAAAATATTAAAGCAGTAATCTGAATCTATGAAATGTGGTTTTGTGGGAAGAGTATAAATAACAAACATTAAACTACTTGGTAATGTTGTAGTTCTTGAGACTGGTCTTGGTCTCAAAACCATGTTTTGACTGTCTTGGTCTTGTCTCGGTCTCATACTGTATTCAGTTAGTTACCTGTGTTTAGTACACTGAACGTTTAAGGGCACTTGTTTACATTTTTTTTTCCGGTCTTGGTCTTGACTCAGTCTTTCCATCACTCAGTCTTGGTGTCGACTTGGTCCAGCTCCTAAAAGTCTTGGTCTTGTCTCAGTCCCGATACACTCTGTTTAGACTTGGTCTTAAGTTAGGTGGTCTTGACTACAACACTACTACCTGGAGAATTTAATTTTGTCCATAATTATGGACTAATGACTAGTCTGAGTGGGGTCAAACCAAAATAGATTGCTTCTAGAAGAAATTTGAGTGATACATATTTAACCCAAATCCTAACTCCATACTGAATGACAGGCAATTACAATTTTAAGACTGAACTTGTTTTAGGGGTAACACTTTCTTTTACGGTACCCTTATTACCATGTAATTACAAAGTAATAAAAAGGTAATAAAAAGTAATTAATACCTTATTACTATGTAATTATGTAGTAATTAGGGTACAATTTTACTATGTAATTAATTGTCTGCAGTATTGTAGCACTTACCTGTTAATGTATTACAATCCACTATGCAACACCAAAATAAGTAGTAGGTACTTTGGACAGTTTTGAAGTTATATTTTATTGCAATTAACCACTAACCCCAAAATTTAGTTAAATTCTTTTGGTTATAAATATAGTGTTGAGTTATTATTGAATAGTAATTTGATTGTAGTTACCCAACAAAGGTAGTTTTACTAGCAGTTTTTCTTTTGTACCATAATTACACATAATTACATGTAATAAGGTAGTAAATACTATTTAATTACATTTTTATTACATTGTAATTACATGGTAATAAGGGTACCGTAAAAGAAAGCGTTACCATTTTAGGATGGCAGCAGTCCACTTTGGTTGCAACCTCACTTAGAATAGCTGTTAACTTTTTAATTGGGTCACAATTATATTCTATTTCTCCAAACTGTGGTTGCTTAAAGACTTATGAACCACAGGTAATGTATTAAAAAGTACACAGCCTTTCCACAAAATGTCACTTCAAAGGATTGGAATTGTTCCTTTAAGTCAAACACTGGCAAGAAAACACACATGCACCTGCTTCTATGAAATAAAGTATCACAATTAAAACACCACTGCACAACGATGACATCAATTTTTTGGAGGATACTGCAAACACTCAATGCTTCTCCCTAATTTGAAGCAAGATCCAGGCCATTATTATGAACGAGAAGGCAAACAGAGCCGTTGTGTTCACCAAAGTATCCACAGTGTACATGCATCTACTGTAGTTGCACAATTAACTGGCCACTGACAGGTGGCTTCCATCTTTCTGCCTGTAGAATATGGCCCTGTCACAGACGGATAATAGGGCCAGAGCACCAGTCTGCCTTGCACAAACAGTCCACGCACACGCCTGGTCCTGGTTCAAATCAGCCGCACCGCTCATGGTGTATTCAATTAGACAATTAGACCAGTCTCCACTCCACACATTTGCTGAAATATCTCTTGAAGTGATAACTGCTCTTTGCTCCTTATATGCTTGAATTTAGCATCATCATTGGAAACTGAAAAATGCTATAATTACCTGTCAATGTTGCTGTAGCTGTTAAAAATAAGAATTTAAATAGCTATAATTTAATAAGTGTATAATATAGGATTGTTTGTAGCTTTCTAGGAAATGCACAAGTAGCAAAAGTAAACTCATTAATGAAGTCCCAACAATAAATCTTAGATGCCATTACTCTTTATCTCTAAAACCATCCCCCTCCCACTGGAACCCCCAGATGGAGCATCATCCAGCCATAAGGCCTGACAAATCCTGCTCTCAGCTCTTGACTGAAGATGAAGTCAGAGACTAATAGCAGTCACAGCCTCTGAGCTATTGCACAGAGGGGGCAGCGAGCTGCAGCACAGCGCCATCCTGAAGCAGAACCCTTAAGAAACCCCTGTTGGTGCTGAGTTGGTAACTAAAACAGCCAGGGGGGCATTTCTTCCCCCTTAACAGCCACAACGGGGGCATGTTCCCCCAATAATGTGCTGCCATTAAAAATAAATGTGCTCTCATGCTGGAGGAAAGTGGGTAAATTCAACAAGATAAGAAACATCTATCTATTTCTTTTTTAAACCAAAGGAGAGTTGATGTTGGAGCCCAGTGTGAGAGTGTTTTACTGCACCTGTAAAATGCGATCCCCTTCTCGAATGCGTCCATCTCTGGCAGCGATGCTGTTTGGACAGACCTGTTGAAGTACAATTTACAAAAGGATGCATTTAAGAAGCTTTTAATAAATAATAATTTCCAGGTTATTTGCATAAAGACCTTCAGCTAAACGAATAGATAGTACTACAGATGTCAGCTGATGTTCCTGGACATATTCAAACAGTTTTCAAACATACTTGGAAATTGCCACAATAAAACCAAATCAATGTTTATCCCAAAAAGATGTCAGTCATGCTTGTTCTATTTTCTGTCAAGTTGATTTAGCACAATCCTGTGCATGAATCATCTCCCAGCCTGTAAGTTAACCCTCGCACATGGTGCACCTGCTCTTCCTGTGACTAATGCTAGTCAACAGGAGGGCAGGACATGCTCTCATTGGCCAATCAGCTGGTGTTTCAGTCCATTTGTTCCACTTTCTCCTTGCAGACTCCAATTCTGAAGTCATTGAGGTACAGAGACACTCCATCTTCATGAAAGTTCACTCCCACGCAGAACAACACTCATTAAACTGGGCGTGAGGTCCCTGCTCAGGAACGGGTTAAACACAGGAAAGAATAGAGGACACAGGGTGCACATGTTCTGCACTTAGAAGGTGGGGTTTTCAGTGGTTATTCTGTCATCTGTTAAAGATAATACTTTATTTGATCATGTAAATGGCTGCGCACTTGTGAACCACAGGGAAAAAAAGGGTTTCGCTGGTCCCGTGAAGTTTCCTCTTTGAAATGGAACAAAAACTTCAAGGCAAAAAAAAAAGGTATCAGTTTTGAGACTATCTTGTATTTGTTCTTTCTGCCACCTAAGATATGAATGCTTGACATGTCCTCTAGCATAAGTGTTATTTATTGTGCCACACTCTTTTGGATTTAATAAAATAAACACTGAAGAATCATGACTAAAGAAAAAAAAAAGCAGATCAGTGTAATTTATATTCTGCTCAGCTCTCGAAGCAAACACCTTTCACGGTCTGTGATGACTTCAAATAAAATATAGGGGAAAGTTGAGCCGACTGGTGAGCAGTATCCTCACAGCTTCTGAAAAGTTGAAGATGAAAAAACAAAAACCAAAAAAAAGCAAGTCTTGTTTTTATCAGAGGGTAGCTTGTTGAGGTGTGCTGATGCAACCTGAAAAACATCACACCATAAAAGCACTCTTTTATGTCTTTTTATCCTTTGTCTTGGCGATCATCTCACTTTGCCAACTGACAATGTAATCAAGCAGTTAGGTTATCTGCTCAGAATTGTGTTTTATGTTTGATGAGACTTTAGTTTTGAAGTACTGCTGCATGCATATTAAATCAATTCACAAATTACACAATAAGTACTGAATGTCATAACAGATTTATACTGAGAAATGCAAAAGTCTCGGTTGTGAAAACATTTCACTGGGGTCCTCTGATCTAGAAAGAGGATGATTGTTGGTTTCTACAACAGAGAATAAAATGTTAATCGGAAACTTCAAAGAAACCAAATGTCAGGAGAATACGCATAAAGCTTTTGCTACAGTAGAATTAATATTTTCCAGTTTTGAAACTGCTAGCAATCGCAACTTTGGTGATTGGCAGGAAAAATAACAAGCAGGGAAATAATTTATGTGGTCAATGTTTTTTTACAAGCATTTTCAGAAACAACGGTGCTTGGTAACAGAAAGAGAAATCCTACACTATGGACAAAAATTACAACTTTTCATTTATTCACTAATCTCTTTTTTAAGGGACACTTAGGGCTACATACTCAACAGTGAGCAGTAAAAGTTTTACTATTTTCATCATTTTGTGTTATTAGCATCTGCTGCTGAGTTGCACAGCAGTGATTGTGGCATCTGCAGAGAGCACTATTTTGCTGTGTGTGGTTGTTAACAGAGAGTACTGTGCATACCACAGACTCAACACATTATATTTTTATACTCTGCAGTTCTTTTGAGGGCCATAGAAAGAGAGTTTAGTTGTAGACTAAAGTAAATACAGCAAATACTTTTTTTGCATTGTTTGTATGTAAAAACTCTTTCATAATGTGGAATTTTTTCCAGTGAACATTGTCTTGTGTATGATCATTTGGTGCTTTGATAAAAAATAATACTTTTGTAAACTATTATACATCATTGTTGGTGATTTCTGTCTTTAAAGTGCAGTGCATCTACTAAACATAAAAATAAAATCATTTTACTTGAATCGATTTTTCTACATTACAGTGGATTTTGTTATAACCTATATTTGATTTGAATTTAATGTATTTATTAAAAGAACACACTTATAAAAAATGTACATAAATTAAAAATACTTGGATGACACAAGAAAGTGAAAACACTTACCTGGATGTTTGTCCAGTAACTAGTTGGTGGTTAGGGTTAACTAACACAATTGAAAGACTTGTGGCCCAAATTATTACCGGTACTGATTTAAAACATACAAAGGTCTATATTTATCACTCAACAACCAGCAAATTAATTTATTGGTGTGTCAACGGTTTCCATCTCTTGACACAATATCCTTTAGCAATCAAAATAATCACATGGCGTATGTGTTTCATGACCCACAGTGGGATCCCAACTTTAACTTTGAGAACCACCAATCAATTCTAGAGTACAGGATACAAAAGTGCAGCAAAATGACTGGAGTGCCTAGAGTGGCCTGTCTGGTCAACATTTCTTAAGTCTAGGTCAGGAGTAGGCAATCCTGGTCATGGAGCGCCGCTATCCTGCATGTTTTACTTGTTTCCCTGCTTCATCACACCTGGTTCAGTGATTAATCCACTTCTTTCTTCAAGCTCTGCAGAAGCTTAGTACTCATTCACTCAAATCAGGTGTGATGAAGCAGAGGAAGAAGTAAAACATGCAGGAGAGTGGCCTAAGAAGACCAGGATTGCCCACCCTGGTCTAGATGGTGCTCTACTTCTTGGCTTTATATCCCCTTTCAGCTTTTGTGCATGGGCGGTGCTACATAACTATATCCTCAAAGACCTGGGAGCTTTAAGGTTCTGCACCGTATTGTACAGAGTTGTAAAGTAACTAAGTACAAAAACTTTGTTACTGTACTTAAGTATAATTTTTTGGGTACCTTTACATGAGTAATTATTTTTTAGCCTACTTTTTACTTTTTTCTTTTTATATTTTCACACAATTATCTATACTTTGTACTCCTTACATTTTTTTAAAAGACAAAAAGTAGAAGGTCGTAACTTTTATTTCATTTTTGCTTAGCTTGTCATTCCAGCTTGTTATTGTAAAAAATAAATACTAATTCTGCTTCCTAGATAGAGTGAATTTAATTGTGGTTGAATGAGAAGTATAATAAAACTCTGATACCGTATTAGTTTGTACACAAACAAATCATGTCAAACTCCAGCAGGACATAATCATTAAAATAAAAGGACTGTACTTAAGAAGTATTTGTATTTCATGAATTATATGATTGCATTTGGCTGCAGCCGTCAGATAGATTTTCATTTTGGGGAAAATGTTTGGTCACCCTTGATATATGTATATAAACTGAAACAGCTAATCTAGTGCATCCTAAATTTAACATAAATTAATTGTTTTTATACAATATAGTCATTTCTACATTTTTTGGGGAAATCACCTCCAAATAAATGTCACTACAGAAAATCTAACTGCTCATTTTAAATCAATACTTTTACTTTTAATACTTAAGTTAAAAAATCAGATACTTTAAGACTTTTGCTCAAGTAGTATTCCTAAAGGAAACTTTAACTTTTACCAAAGTAATTTTTTGGTAAGATACTTATACTTTTTGTTCAAGTATCACTTTGTGGTACTTTATACAACACTGGTATTGTAGCTGTTAGGACTGCACTCTTCAGTGCTTCAGTGACATCTGATGTTGTTCTTGAGGTTTACTGGAGCCATCCAGTTTTGAGTCACATCCCAGAATGTTTCCATGTTCACTAACACCACTGAGGCCTCAATATCTCAATATTCTAAAACTTCTCTACTTTTTCTTTTAGCCTTTGGCATTTCTTGAGATTTGCATGTTCCTTCTTGATATTACAGTCACTTGGGGTCACTACATTTTCCACCGCTGCCATGTACCTTGTAGCATGGAAGTCATACAGTATATTGCAGCCAACTGAATAATCCAATAAATCCCCTTAACAGCTGGTGCTTGGTATGCCTGTTAAGGGATAAACTTTACAGTGCAACTAAAGTTGAAATTCCCACATAGCAAAATGTGTCTGGCCCAGTTCTGACACTCGCAATGCATTAAAGTTCAGCCCAGATATGACAAAGAATGACTGCTATATGGTGGCCCAGACGTGGTTTGCCAGAGGTGGTCCATGCATGGGTCAGTGCCACATAAACTAAACCACTTTTAGGCCAGTTGTGGCATATCATCTTAAAAACAGTGACATCATTGCATTGATGTAAACAGCTCTGATAAAAACATAATTTTATTGTTCAGGTCATCTACACTTTTGGCTTGCACTTTTGTATAAACATCTTCAACAGTTTTTGTCAGTGTCCAGCAAAAGGAATGCTTAAGTCCTGAACTCACCTCACTAACGTAGATGGCCACGTCCTCTTCTTCATCTGTCCGATAGCACAAAGTGAGCCCTAATTTCTCTTGACTGCTGAGTCGACACAGTTCAATTTCCTGTACAGACAAAAATAAAAAAGTTTAGCAGTGTTAAAATAAGAAGCTATTTGCTGGGACTGAAAACTTCAAAAGCTTAAACAGCAAACCTTTCAGCATTCAATAAGAGAGGCTGCAAAACAACATAATAAGAAGTGGCTCTGCTGAAGATCACACAGGGTTTTTAGGTTCTGGTGCTTGTTTTGTGTTTTGCTTTTAAACTCTTAACTCTGAAGGCTTTTTGAGCGGGAAAGGGTTTGATCATGAAAGACTTGCTTCACTTGGGGGAGTTTGACTGAGGGGCTTTGATAAATGTCTGGCAACCTCTGGTGTTTTCCTTTTAAGTCTTTTAAGTTATAGACTATTATGTTACAGTCTAATTAAATCAAAGCCAGCCGTATATGCTGTAGAGTAGTTTGTCTTCTTGTGAAGTGAGATCAACAAATTGAAACACGTGGCATCATTTGAGTCTATAAGGATTCTTCGTTTTGGTTTTTATAAAACTATAAAAAAAATTATAAATTCAATAAATAAGCTTGATAAGGACTTGATAATTAGGAGATTTCTTTCAATTTTATATTGTTTTGTTTAAATCTGTTTTGTCCTTTGAGCTTCCCCTAGAGTTTAATGTCCAGAATCCACTTTTCTGCAACTCTGCACTTTCAGTTTACCACAGCAGATGCATCACAACACCAACAGCACCCACCAACCTGCGCCCATTTCGAAAACCTGAAACATGTCAAGGGGTGTTTGAGAGAATCAAGTGTGAAATGGCCTCCACCTCCCAAGGTCTTCATTAGAGCAGAAACACACTGGCTCTCAGCAGCAGGAGCGAAGTGGTTGAGTGGAGAGGAGGATGGAGGGTGGAGAAAGAAATGAGGTGGCGGTGAGGACTGTGGCGGGGCTCACAGGGGTCTCGCTCATAAAAAAAAATAAATAAGAGGTTCATTTTGTCCGTGACATGTGCAGGTTGACTGGTTACACGTGTTAGATGTAGCGTGGCTTTGGGAAAGGGGAATGAAGAAGGGAAAGGGGTAAGATGAAGGAAAAATGAGGGGGAAAGGCCAATTCCTGGTGCCTAGTTCTCAATTTTTTTGCGGTTTTTGATGCTCGATGCCTCCTCACACACTTTCAAAGCTTTATCATCATTTTTTTTCATGTTCTCGTTTGGGTTTTAATCCCAAAAATGTGCTAAATACTCATTCTTGAAAGTAATCCCTGCATCTTTTCTTTTTTTTTTTTTTTTACAAACCTTTTACTCACACATACAAGCACACTCAACACAAACAGAGTAAATGCTTAGGAATGGCATCATCCGAGGCTGGCGTTTCATCATATTTTGACAACCTCCACCTGATGTGGAGCTTTTAGAGTTTTATCTGACAGCCTCAAAGGCTGACAACTTCAAATTCTAGCGGTTGAAGCAGAAGACGGCGTGAACGAGGGAGACTTTGATGTGACAAACTTCACAAAGTGCGTCGTAATTCTCTAACTGCTATTAAAAATGCTTCTAATTGTCGGGGCGAGCGGGAATATTTGTTGCAGCGGCTCGCTTCCAGAAGCGCCAGAAGACCGTCGTGGCTGCGATAGAAGCCTGGTGCACGTGTGAAATTGTGGGGGTATCGGTGGGAGATGTGGAAATCACGAGTGTTGCAGAGACATTTCTAAAAATAAACTGCACAAATCAAATGCTGAGAGCAAGGCAGGGAGGAGGTGTGAGCAGGTGCTGTGTGATCCCTTATCTGCAAAACAGGCTTAAAGTTAGCTCCAACTCATTAATGATTACAAGTAGTAGAGGAGACCTGTTTTCAAATGATCCAAAATAAAAAGAAAAAATACAGATTGTGCACAGTGTTAGCCTTTCTTCTGTCTTAGAAGCTTTTGAGCTTTCATGCTTTAAGAAAATATTGTGTAAAACACCCACTCACTCAGATGCCTTTGTAAAAGGTGGCTGTCTCCTGAACCATTAAAAACACATTCACCAATCTCTTTCTCTCATCTCGCATTTTGAAACCCCCCCCCTCCAGACTCTGTTTTCCCAGCAAGCTCTCTGCCTCTCAGGCAGGAGATTGCGTTGCGACACTGGGACGAGGGCTGACAGTAAATTAATGACTGTGATGGCATGATTAAGAGGAAGATTGCTGCCCGCCATCAAAGCACATTGGATGCTGTCATAATAATCGTGCCTTTGATTACCGGTAATTGAAAAAAAAAAAGTTGTGGCAAATGTGTCGATGCACAGGCAGGGGGAAAAAAAGAGAGGAAGAACAATTCCAAGCTTGGAGTACTTCACTTCCTCAGAACTCATCAAAACTAATCAAAGAGATGGTCCCTAACACGGTCGGTCCCGTGGCGGCACACATCAAGGTTTTCCCAGGAAATTCACAATGTTAGACTGTGAAATTGCAGCAATAAGACGTGGCCTTTGTAGTCCAACAATCTAGAAGATCAAAAAGAAATAAAAAAAATGATTTAACACACTCGTGGTGGAAGATAAATTCATTCTCCACAAAAGGGACAATTAAGTTAGACTTTTAACAATTTTATAACCCCCTTTTTTATTTTCTTCCTCAAAACATGACTAACTTTAAAGTCTCACGTTAGGATTTTTCAATTGAATTCTGCCTGATTTTGTTCAATTTTATCGCCCGAATAATAAAGTTGATAAAAAGAGCATGGGCATTTCTTTTTTCAAGCAGGAGGCTTAGGTCCACAATGATTAAAAGCTTCAAGTTTCAACTTAAGTTGCTTGTTTTTTTTTCTAATAAAGCATACATCACCTTGCTGTTGTGTACAGTTCATGGGGCTGAATTAAAAAAAAGCATTGAGAAATTTCAACATCATGCCACAGTGTGTGGTGGAAGGACTTGATGCAGACACACAGGAGGCAGCAAACAAATAAGCTGGTGGGCTGAGCAGTGAAAACAAACCTTTAATATGATCTAATCTGAGATACTAGTAATCCAAGGGAAGCATTATCAAACCAGGGAATTTGGCAGAAATAAACAAAGGATCTAACAATGATCTGAGGAAACCTGGGGTGTATGTGAGCGGAATATGTGATTGTAAGCTGTGAGGGGATACAGGTGGGCTGATTAAAATATGAAGCAGGTAAAATTGAATCGGTAAAATAAGGGGACTCAGGACATCTATAGATAATGGCAAGAACAAAAGCAGAACTGAATAACACAACCCAGCTTGTATGAAAAATAAGAGAACAAAATAGAGTTTAGTGCCACATAAAACCCAAAAATTTGTTCAAAACTCCCCAAACTGTGACACTTAACCAAGCCTACCACTGAGCCCAGAAATAATTTGTACAAATTAAGGTTAATATAATGAGTATTGGTGGCCAGTCTCCTTTTGGTAAATTCCAACTATCAATCTTAAAGGCAATATATATATATATATATATATATATATATATTATATTTGATGCTTGTCAGTCCTCCTTGTATTTTGGCCCAAGATTAACATCTTTATCTCTCTAGTTCTCACTTAACGTGATTGGTGTTGAGCCATTGCATTCTCAACTGAGACAACAATCAGCAGGCTGCATAAGAAGTTCTCAGATTCATTCTGGTGCTCTCGCCCCATGATACTGTGAGGATTTGGCATGAACAGACCCAGGGCGCAGGCAGGCTCCAAAAGCAAAAGTAGAACAAAAATTTATTTTAAATAACAAAAATGCTGTAGAGACAGCTGAAACTTACAGGAGGCACGAGGATCACACAGGCAGGGGGAACAAAGCACAGAGAACCAGAACCAACACATCAAACACAATGATCCGACACAAGACTGAGACAGGACAGGGCTTAAATACACAGAAAACTAATTAGGGTAACAAGACACACCTGGAGCAGACACAAAAGGACACAGGTGAGAGAGGGTGGGGCTGCAGGGCAGAGAAACACGGGAACACTGAAAACACTAGAAAACTAAGGAAAATAAACACAGACCATGACAGATACCACTTAAAATCCCTCCATAGAAACTGCACAGCTAAAGTTTGCTCAGTCACAGTTCAGGTGTCAGTGTGGGCTTTGGTATTACACTCTCTTACAAGTAAACTGAATCTAGACTGGTATCACAATCACTTATTAATAGCTGATATGGAGCATTTAATGGACACACCACTAAAAGAGGCAACTAGCAATAAAATGAATAATAAAAAGAAAGAAGTCAGTCTGGTACGACAGAAAATCTAATCCAGTATGAGCCGTTCCAACTGTGTTTTCGGCTGATGTAACTACAGCCGTGCTTACATTTCCCAAGTTGTAAAATCCTGTTTCAAAGTGTAATAAAACAGCTCTGCAGCGCTTTAACATGAGGTAATCTCCTTACCCAACCAGCTGTCTTGGCTTGTATTTCGTTTCTCAGCTCTGGCTTTTATTGTGTTTTAATGCGGAAATGTTTCTTTATGACTGGGTTCATCGTCATGTGCAACAAATTTCATAATTCACAGACAATTGATTTACTTTTAAAAGGATATTATGATTCGACAGAAACATCGATGGTGGATGTAGAGCTCATTGATACAGATGTTATTAATATGTTGACAAAACTTAAGCTTATGGCCCAGCTGCATACATTTATCACTACGTACATACAAAATCTTCATCAAAGCAACAGTTCATATCTTCTGGAGTGGGGTTCTGTAAAATGGTTGAAAGCAAATATTATCTTCATATTAATCTGGGCTTCATGAAATTTAATTTGAATAATTAGAGTTTATTTACAACCAGACTTGCAATCTAACAGGTAGTCAGAGTTGCCATTCTAAAACAACTCAAATATATCAGACATTTTTTACTTGTTACTTTACTTTTTACTAACCCGTTACGTCATCATTGAGAATTTCATGATTATTTGCAGATTAAAATAGCTGTCAGGCTCATGGGGAACTGAACCCGGGAATGCAGGCCACACAAGGAGTTTGAGAAAAACTAAAATATTTATGGACAAAAACAAAAAGCAGGTGTAGCAGAAGAAAACACAATACAACAAAACACAATATGACGGAGAACAAGACAGGACATAAAGCATAATGACTGACTGCAGGGAAGACAGACAGACTTAATAAACTAGGGCTGATGGGGAGATTGGAGACAGCTGACCTAATGATAACAGGGAACAGGTGTGGGTGAGTGTGTCAGGACTGAGGAGCAGAAGCTGACTGACAGAAACACAAGGAGGCACTGGGAACAGACGCAGCACAAAGAAAATACAAAAAAAAATTAAAAATCACAGGAGATTAAATATAAACAACAAAAACAGAAAAATTAACACTGAAAACAGATTGTGACATCAGCAGCAGCTAGCTGTAGCACTTCAAGAGCAGCTGGAAGCACTTCCTGCTGTAATATTTCAACTGGAATAACTATATTATAAAACTCACTGTGAACCACACATGAACTAGCCATCAGTTGGTCATTTAATTAAGAACTGAGCTCTGTTTTTTCAAATCACCAAGTCAGATATTAATTGTTTGTAATTTTTCTACAGAACTCCACTTTCAATAATCTGAACTATCCCTTTAATAATATCCTGGCATATGAGAAAAGTGACTTTGAATTTGATATTTTCTGCTTTTTATTATAGCAAAGTGCTTTTTACCCCCATAACATTTACACCAAAGAAAATTTATCCTTGATTCTCTCCTTCAGCAGAGATCATTTATACTCGGGAAAAAAGGCTTTTCAGCTCGTGCCTCCATCTCGCTCGCAGCGGTTTCAGCTGTCATACAGTAAGTGGGGCTGCATTACGCTGGTGCAAAAACCCCCATCGAGACGGAATCGTCGCGGGCCGCAAAGCGTGCACAGGGTAAAGGGATTTGTTAATAGCAATGAGGCATAAACAGATGCGTTAATATTTTATATATTTTGGATTTGACGTCGGGGCCTCTGCGATCCAAGCGGCTGCACAAATCTGTTTAGGATGTGAGGAGACAGCTGAAGCTTGGCGGTTTGAAGCCTTCAGAACAAATTCAAATTAAACACAGAAAGAAGGGGGAGTTTGAGCAATCACCATACATCAGACCCGTCGGAGGCCTCGCTCGGTATATGCTCGCACACCAATGACTCGGAAATAAGGAATATTGTAGCAAAGCAGCAAGCAGAGCCAGTGTGTGTTAATCTTGTCCTGCCGGTTGAATCAGCACATTTTTATCATTTTGTGTCAAAGAAGAACGATCCAAGTACCCTGCCCTACTGATGTTACTCTGCTCCTTACACACAAGTAAATATGGAGAATCAAGAAACGTGTTGTTTTTCTGATTTTTTAAAAAAAAAAAACTGTATTAGCATCTGCCACACAGCTCATTACCAAGGTATGATCAGAGTCAAAAAATGCTTGTTAGCTTTTTCTACCAGAGTTGTGAAAACAATTAGCAAATTTCTGGCACTAATTCCCTTGTCACTTTGTGTTAGAAAAAAAAAAACATGAAAGCCTGGCACCATTTCCCATGATAAAACAGTTTTACTCAAGCTGTCTGTAACGTGGATGAGGACATGTTGCTAAACCTGCCCTCTAAATCAGTTTGAGTGTGCTTTGTACTTAAAAGCTGAAGAAAAAATAAGTTCCTGTTGTAGAAACTTTAAATTACTTTTTGAGTTTAAAACTATCAAATTGTCAGTACTTCTTATGAAGTTAAACTTCTAAATAATAAAATGTTTAAGTAATAACACATTAAATACATCAACACAAAATTCCCTTAAACACGCAACATAAAAACATATACATTTAAAAAAACTTATACAATATGTATTAAATATAACTTCTCCAGTGTCAATATGAGTTTTATTAGTTTTATTCTTCCATTTATTATTCCTAGTATTATAAAATGTTATCTTGAACATCTGTATTTTTATTAAAGTAAATAAATAAATAAGCAAACAAATAAATAAAAACTGTTCAAAAATGGGCAGGATCAAGCCCTGACACTTCGAGGTGACTTATACAAAACCTTACTGGGTTACACTTGTGAATAAATGAAAACAACAATGCTTATTAAATAACCTGTTTGTGATTGTGTCACCTCTAGTGACATACTGACAGCTTAATTCTAGGAAACTCTAGGAAATATTTATCTATTAACTGTAATAAAATATTTTTATGGTACACTGTATGCAGTTCATTATTGTTTCCTTTTCACACATATAACCCATTAAAGTATTATGTCACAAAATTAACTGAAAAGGTTATATATAATAAACATTGTATAATGTTCACAAGTGAATTGTGAACTGCATATGTTACTTATGCACTTCACAATTGCCCACCTGGATTCAATTGTATGCCAACTTATGAGTAATTAGTATATAATGCGAAAACCTTCATGACGGGGTCGTATTATACACAAGGATAAATTTTGACTGATTTTTTGCGACTGTATTACCACAATAAATGTCAAATTTTTTTGTATATGAAATATGTTGCAGCAGATAAATCATCATAATTTCTTCCTCTGCCTTCCCTCTATATAAAACGTATAGAACGTATTGTGCTAAGGCTGGCGTTGTTGGATAAGGCGTCGGAAAAGTATAACCTCTTTTTGTTTTTCTTGTCAACCGAAAAAGCAAGAAGACGTTGACGTCTGCTACACGTTTGTGTGCTCAGCCGGACAAGACGAGCTCCTCCTTGAAGCTGTCCATCTGTGAGCTGTGAGCTCACAGATGCATTCTCAGTGTCATGAAGCAGCATGCCCACAAGTGTGTGCCCCCAAAATAATGTTTCCCCCACCAGAGGGTACACTGGAAAGACTGAACAATCCTGAAGTCTGTATGAAGTATCGGGTAGTGTTATGTGCAAGGATTCGATTTTCAGTGCTCCAAAAATAGGGGGGTTGCTTTAATCACATTATGCACGCGTACACGGTACATGTACTGTGTGCAAACTGGTGCATAACTTCCTCATCGCATCTCTGCAATTTAACTTAGCAACACGTCGATATATGCTGAACATTTTGTAACTGGACAGTATTTTGGGCTGACATCGGCACAATAACTCATGTCGTAGTCTATCAGCGTGCTCATAACTTATTCAAAACTTACACCTACTTTGATAATCTTAAACCAGCATGTTTCCCATATTTTATTTTTATAGCATACCGTAAGTCGTCTCAAACAATATAGTTGTGTCAACGTCATAATTTCCTTAGAAAAATGACATGAAATCATATAGGCAAGTTTCAGATCAAAATATAGCTGAGTTAAATATTTCATTACCATTTTCATACCAAACACAGAAAATGAATATCACCGGATTTTTGCTTGAGTGGAATAATAACTTTGTGCCCAAACAAATTTCAGGAGTGCAGAGGGGAAAGTTTCCACTCTGTGAACAAGAAACTCATTTTAAATATTGTTTTCCTTGAACATCCCCATATTTGGCATCCTGTTCTGTTTTTTTTTTTCTTTTTGCATTTTTAATAATACCTCATCTTTCTCTGCATGGTGTAAAGTTGTAAAGCAGCTTCTTCCTTGTTTGGTTTTGTTGATCAAAATTGGTTTTGAGGCTTCGTGAAGCATGAAATACCTGCTTAGCAGTCAGATCAGGTGTATCGCCTACCTCATATTCAAAGTCTTCTGTCCTCTCTCCATCGGCAGGAATGGGGGAGAGGTAGTTGGTACCATCGTAGTAATCTTGGTCCATTGTATGAAGAGAGTGACAGCTGTCAAGAGAGGAAAAAAAGGTAGAATGGAAATGAAGGGAAACATCCACACAGGCAGAAAGGTTGAAATTTGGGTATTAGCAGGACCGTTGTTATTGTTATTTTCTTTCACAACACTTCTCAAGCTCCAACTCTCAAAGTGACAAGATTTGGTTGCTTTTGTGTTTTTTTTTTTTTTTTTTTTAAAAAAAAAAAA